AATTCTTTTTAGAAACCTTTTCATGCCTGATACATTTCTCAAACATCACACTCACCCTGCTTCTGTCACTGTTCATGTAATTTTCAATGTTCTTTGGTTTGCATTATGTGAGGCAAGATTTTCTCATAGGAAAAGAAAAATCTCATTAACAGCAAACAAGAAAAAGATTCTTTCTTCCAGAACAGCCAGTCATAACAAGGCCAATAAGGCATATTTGCAAAAGTTGAGTAACAACTCTTTCCCAATTCTTCCTGATGTTAATAAGTTGCATGTGTTTGCTCAAAGCACTGCTGTGACTTTTAGAAAAATCCAGACCAGCTGAAACCAGCTAGCTCAAAACAGGAAGGCTCATCACTTTGATTCCTGTGTTCTGGTCTCTACCTCCCAAGACCACCCGAAAAAACCTGAAAATCTGCCAGAATTATCTTTTTTTCATTTGTGTATAGTCAGTCAGCAGTTCACTGTAAATTATTCATCTGCTTATTCTCAAAAATAAACCTTTTATCTTTGACTATAATGGATGCCACTATAAAAACAAAAGATTAATCATTAACTAGAAAATATATAGAATATTTTTGCCTGAACAGTTTTAGACAAAGCTTTCAGGAATATTCATAAATTGTATATGTTTTAATATCTTAGTATCTGTGTCTTAAAAATATTGTTAAAATGACACTAATAAAAGCTTGGGAAATAGGAGTATTTGTCTCAAACTTTCCTTTTGCTGCCTGTGGGCTTGTGTGTCAGTGCCTATTTTTTTTTTTCCATTTTAAATTTCTCCCAGATTTCTTCCTCCATGCAGACCAACATGGTTGAGGGGTAAGATTAAAAATGCAATAAATTTCCTATTAAATAGCTAGCTGAGGACAAAGCCAACAGTCAACAAGCTTATCTATGTTTGAAGCAAAGATAGACTGGAATCAGAACATGAACAGGACAAGCATGGTTACCAGAATCAGCTGAGTCATCACCAACAGAAAGATTGGTCAATTAAGGACTCTGTCTTTCAGAACACAAATAGGAAATTTAACTTTGTCTAAGCACTGTACTTCTATTGCTGTGTGCTTCTAGTCTTCATTGTCTTCCAAACACTTTTCTGTATCATATACTAGCCAAGTATATTTCACCAATGCATGTCAAATACTATTTAAATACTGCTTCTACATGCTTGCACTACAGCTTCCAGAGATTCAATATTGCTACCTGTAAAATTACATTTTCCTTACACATTTCAGCAGCAGGATCCCATCTGTGCTTGTGGGATCTCAGCCTCTCAGAACTGGGGTGAACGGTGAAGGGATAAGTTAATTGGAGTGTGAGACAAAGGGTTTAAGATTTCTGTACAGGGGGGTCTAGAGAAGTAAGATGGAGGAATTGGGGCGTGCCCTTCTCCTTCTTCTTCTTCCTCTAGGCCTCCATCTTCTGTGGTGATGTTGGCACTCTGGGATTGGGCATTACTAAAAGAACACTGGTTAATAAGGGTAGAGGGTATTGGAGAAAAATGATAAATATTGTATACGTAACTCCGGGTATAAAGATAGGTGGCCGCCCCAGGGGCTCTCAGTGTGTGCCCATGGCTGACTGCTGAGCAGAACTCTGTCAGGCCAAGAGAAAATCTTTTAGATAAGCAATTAATAAACACCGAGACCGAGAAAAGATCTGAAGTCCCTTCTCATCCTTTGGAGCGCAGGCGGCCCAAGGCCATCTTCGGGCTTTTCCAGACCATCTAAACAGCCCAAAATCCGACATGTGCTAGATGACAAGAACCTGGGGTGTGAAGCTATTGCCTCACAAACAAGAATGCTCAGATAAACAACTGTCTCTGACTGCTGGTGTCCCTGCAGCTGTCATGCACAGCATTTTACCTGGGGTTCCAGACAAAGCAGCTTGAGCTCCTGTCAGAGTCAAGAGGCCACCTTCTTTCAGATGTTTTGTGGCAAGATGGCTGGAAATAGTCGATGTCCAAACACTCTGCTTCCACATCAGATCACAGTTTTTGTATAAAGCTGATTAGGAAGTGAATTAATGAAATTAGCCAAAGGAAGACGACAAACTCTGATTTCCTCTCTGTTACACAGAGTGCAATAGCACTATGAAAACCTGCTTTCTGTAATTTTCTACCTCTACATTGTAAAATATTCATTTATGTTTTTTGTATCTCCTTTCTCTTTGAGCCTGTAACAGCCAAACCAGAAGGGGGAAGAAAGGGACACATTTCACCAGATTTATTCCAGACAGAAAACAAGGCTATTTTTATTCTTGTATCTCTACAGTATTGGGCAAAGTACAAATTTAATAATTAATATTACATGTTTAAAAGCCCCTTTTTCAATCTGAAGTGTTTTTTCTGTAGCATGAATAGGCAGTGCCTTCCAATATTGCATTGCACAGTAACAGCTCAGAGAGCTGCAGAAGCAACTGAGGTTTTATGAATAAAGCAATGACTTAGGAAACAACATCAATGTGTCTTTCATAACTTGCCTGACACAGGCAATCTCAGCAAAAAGATTGTTATCACAGATAATGCTGAGCTCCTTCAGAAAGCACATCAAAACTTTCTGATAAAAATTAGTGCATCAACAAACATTGTTGAAGAAATGAAGTGATGTGCAAATTTAACAGAAAGCAAAAATTCAGAGCACTGTGACTAAGCTATTTTGTGCTTCTATGCTTTTGTACTCTCATGGAAGAGGAAGAAAGATTTTTAAGGACTTCTCTCAGGTATCATTCATGTTTTCACCAGCATGTCTATACCAAAGGCTTACACTTGGCTTTGGCACTGCCTCCAGCCCATCCTCCTGCCACACACAGGATTGCATCCACCTTCTCTTCACCAAGAAGCTTTCCAACTTCTGCTGTCACCTTCAACACACAGAACAAGAACATACTGAAAACACTGGACTGATAAGGTAAAGAGGTAAACACCATGAATGCCATAAAGCTACTTTTTCCCTACTTATGTATCTGAGTAACACAGGACACAGCAATTCAAACAGATATAGAAAATTAATATTTATGATTCATGAACTCAAAACAACTGTGTTTAAAAATAACTATAGATGAAAGTCAGACAAATGAAAGCCATAGAGTGTCACTGGAAATAAGTGATCATCAGGGCTGAAACACCTGACCCTTACCTCTACTGCTAACAAAAATTATTACTGACTTGCTTTTGACAGGTTCTTTTCAGAGTATGGTGTTGTTTAAGATAGGAAATGAAACTCCAGGTCTGACAAGGACTACTAGCGTCACTTTTGATGACAGTGCAAGAAAAACAACTAAAGATTAGCCCTCCTTATTGCTTCTATCTAGACCACAACCATCAGTTTGAGTCTGATCACAAAATTTGAGCTTGTATACTTTAAGATATCTATAATTTCTTCTCTTTCAAATATAAGACCTCACAATTGGTAATGAATTTGTTGGCTACAAATTTTCTCTGTCAAAGCAAATAGCAAACAATCTAATCTCCCAAGAAGTTAAGAAAAACCCACAGCTTTTACAAAACCATATACTGAAAATTGTATTGTAAACATTCTATGTTACCCTTCCAAGCTTTAGGAGTTGTGCATATATAAAAAACCCCTACTGGCTAGGTATTCAGTACATCAGTAACAGAAATTGGCTTGAAACTTAAAATGTAAAAATGAATGCTATCTGTAGAGAATAAAGCAAAGTACTTTTTTCAGCTGGCTTAGATCCTCTCACATTCCCATCTGTGGAAACCAGGGCATTACCCTAGGGATCCCTTTGGGGCTTAGGTTCATATGCTTTGAGCATGCCATCTACTTACACACAACACATCTTTAAGTTAGGGTATTTGAAATAAGCGTTGCATTTTAAGGTGTCCTTACCCATCTTGATTACAACTCACCTGGCTCAGTCTATAACTCTTAAAAGTCAAGACAAAAACAAAGCAAAACTGCCTTATGTGCTGAGCCTTCAATATCCCGGATCAAGCTCTTTCTGCACATTCAGTTAAAAGGAATTACAAAAAATTAAAAAGAAGGGACGAACAGAAGCTGAAGGACCTTGAGATTCGCGGTACGGCTGCTGCTCCCTGCGTGGAGCCCGACCCATCCCTGCAGCCACCTTGGTACCGCGGGCGGCAGCGAAAGAGATGCACAAACCTGCGGGGAGGCTGCGTGCACCGCTCGGCCGAAGGGATGCGCACAGCCGGGGGAGGGTGAGGGCACCGCTCGGCCGAAGGGACGCGCACCCCCAGGGGAGGTTGGCCGCTGCACCGCCCCACCGCCTCACCCGGCACTGGCCGCCCCGCGCCCGCCGCCGACCCACCTGCTCGGCCTGCTCGGGGAAGGAGTCGGTCGCTTTCACCACCACGTTGGCGCTGGCGTCCGCGTTCTCCGCCAGGTCGATGCTGGCCACCCACTGCCACGGCGAGAGGAACGGCGCGTTAGCGGCCCGCGCCCCGGAGCGCCCAGCACAGCCCGGCGGGGCACGGCTGCTCCCCCGCGGAGCTCCCCGCCTCGCCACCTCCCGGCCCGGCGCTTACCCAGTTCTTGGACTTGAAGTACCGCACGCACTGGGAACCCAGCGCCCCTCTGCCGCCGTACACCAGCACCCTGCGTGCCGCCATGCCCGCTGCTCCGACGCTGTTCTCACGGCGCGGACGGGCCGCCTCACGGGGCGGGAGAGGGGCGGCAGCGCCCGGCCGTGGGCGGGGCGAGGGGCGGGGCGAGGGGCGGGGCGGGGCTGGGCTGCCCGCCCGGGCCGTGCGGAGCGGGGGGAGCGAGGGAGCTGCGGCAGGGGCCTTGTCCCTACTCCCCAGGACTCCTGCTGCTGTTAGTTGGTTAATTAATTAATTAATTAGTGGCTCTGAAGGTCCTGCCAGGGCTCGGGTAGCAGTAACCGTAGAAGTGCGGACAATTGCGGCCGGTTTTCTTTAGCGCTTATGGATCGCAGCTGTCGCTTGTTGCCCCCCATGAGTGCCCCGATCTCCGGCACGGCTGGCCAGGCCGCTCCCGCTGCCAGGGGCTTCGTGCGCCCCGCTGTCATTCAGGAGATTCCAGACCCATCCTTTCTGTCCCTCTGATAACTCTGCCCGCAGTGACATTTACAGGCTGGGTGGGAGCAGGCGCCGGGAAGCTCAGCACGGCTCAGGCGACAGCAGAATCCTTCAGACAAATTATGCTGTTTTGATCCTTTGTCCCTTGCACACAGATATTTATCCACTTTTTAAAATAATCCAATAAACTGGATTCTTCTCCAAATTTTCTTCACATGAGGTTGCAGTAAGAAACTTGATGTCATTTGAGCAGGACAATTAAACCCCTGAGGAAATATTAGACTGGCCATAGAGATAGGATTACTTGCTACAAAGAAGCATCACCGCACTACAATGTAATGAAGCCCTTACTTGCAACCATTTCAGGATGTTGTTGCAGCAAAATGTATTTTTTTGCCTTGATTTTTAACCATATGGGTTAATTGCTGGACCTTAAATACAAAGAGAAGTATCTTGAAATGCCTGGTATTCAGCTGTGGATTTTGGAGCATGATGAAAAATGGGAGATACTTCTGACTGCTGCAGAGAGGGCTTGGAGATGATCCCTTGAAGGCACTAGGATGCCTGGCTGCTTTAAAAAAACATTATTTTCCTTGGCTTCCCTAATAAGTTTTGTGTCTTTTATCTTGATTGTTGTTGCAATGGGGATCCCAAAGTGGATGACTGGAAAGATCCTTTGCAAAACAGGAGCTGATTTGGTCAATGCCACAGATCCAGAGCTGGTCAAGTTCATTGGAGAAATTTACTATGGACTCTTTCGGGGTGGCAAAATACGCCAATGTGGCTTGGGCGGGCGGCGTTCCAAATTCACAAGTAAGTACAATTTTAGTTGAATATTTAGTCTAATATCCAGTTCAAATTTAACTTTCTATAATTTTTGTTTACAGAACTTGTAGAATGCAAATTTGTATTATTTAATAAATATGTAGTCATTATGGTTTGACGTTTGGAGTGTGAATATAAAATTTCTATAATTTCATTAATACTTTCTGCTATAGTTATATTCTGTAATCCTGGAATCAAGCTGGGGACAAAAAATCCCTAGGGCTAGATGGAGAGTTTCCTTTTAGCCTTGTGAAGGGGGTGAAAGTCATTTGGAGATGACCCTGCAAATCATACTGTCCCTTGACTGACTTTTTCCTATGTCATGTTTTGCTCTGCCACCCCTCTGCCTCTGTTCTTGCCTTCTCTCTTGAACTCTTCTGAGGATTTTTCCCTTTAATTAGCAGAGATTTATTTAGCTGGACACATTTCTGTACTTCTCTGGCTGTCCTAATGCAAATGTCTGCCATAGCACATATCGCTAACTTTATTAACATGTTGAAGAAATTGTTACCTTCTTTTCTATTAAGTTGGGACACAAAAAATTGCTGAACTTTTAACAAATATAGAAACTTTTCTAAACGTATTGCTTTTAACATAAAAGATTTTCATTGAGGTCTTGAAAGCACTGAGCTGTACTCTGGATGATTTCCAAATTTCACTTATTCTGTTCTGTAGTGAAAATGGCAATTTGCATTGAAGATTTTTATTTCAGTGTACACATTTACTGAAACTTAAACCAATACAAGTTGAAGCTGTTGCAGTCTCACCATCTCCCTGGCCCACAGCAATGCTGTCCTGTCACATCCTTTGCAATGGCTCTGGTAGCTGAGGTGAGGTATTTCAGAAGTTAAACTGGCCAAAATTTAGCCTACAAAAATAAATACTCGTTTTTCCATAAGATCGTGTCTGACTGCACAACTACACAAGCACTTCTATAAAAATTGAAGGCAGGTGTGACTGTGGGACTTCAGAGGGAATGTAGAAAAGCACCAGAGCAATCTCAACTTAGATCAGCATGACCAGTTGTTAAACTGGATGAATTTGGACTGGTAACCAAATTATTGCTCAAGCTCTGCCTGCAACTGCAATCATGACATGGACACAGCAGTCATGCTCATCCAGCCCCAGTTCTTTCAGGCCATCCTGATAGGCAGAATGAGAAAAACTCTGCACAACTTTTTGGACTATTTAATGAACTTTCTGATTTTTTACTGTGCAACCTGAGAGGAAGGCATAATGTTCCACAGTCACTCTGGAGTACATCAGTATACAATTGGAGGACATGAGCCAGCACTCCTTAGACAAACAGAGCTCTCACTGAAGCTAGTAATAATTCTCTGGTAGAACTGTAAAACATTAAGTGCAGTAGGCACAAATATGCATTTTGATCAACAAGTGTTCCAGAGATTTTCCCTTTTAAATATTTTAATAATTCTACTGAATTTGATATTTTCACAATACTGGTTTCAAACAGCAATACACAAAGCTGATACTTTAGCACAATGGTAAGCAGGGCTGGGGGTTCTGGGTTTGACTTGGCTTTTTTTGGTTTGAATGTCCCCCTTCATCTCCAAGCATTCTGCATTTACTGGAGTGCAAGAACTTTGAGACTTTTCATGACTAATGTGATAATATAAATGGACTTCACTGGCACCATAGATGAAGACAAAGCTAACATATCATATGGTGCAGTATTGCAGTACTTCTGACACTTCAGAATTTCAAATTGCAATAATTTGCTGTTATTGGTACATCCCCTCTCACTTTGTTAACATCCACTAGAGTAGACTTATGGCTGGAACACTCTCTTTTAGCTGGGACAGTGACTCTGTTGCCATAACAGGTGTCTACTGCTCTTTTGTACTCCTCAAGATGTATCATCTGGCCTCCAGCTGCAGCTTCTGGAAGTGTCCCATCCTAAGTGCAGCATGTATGTTAGACCTCAGGCTTGTTATGATGGTCCTAAGGCACCTAAGCTGGCATGAGATGCTTCTGTTTTGACAATTGAGTCAAGGCCTGGAACAAGCTGGGGAAGCCACGTGTTTTGCCTGTGCATAGCAAACACCGCTGGATTGTGTCTGGAGTCTCCATGGCAATATCCTTTTCATGGATTCTTATTTCTGTGTGCTAAGCCAGACTCCCTGGGCAGGTCATCAGGACTTGGCTGCAAGACTCAGAAAAGAGAACAAATAATCCTTACAACTACCCTAAAATCTCTGATTGTTTGTAAGGAGGCTTAATTCCATGTGCTTTGTTGTTACACTGCCAGTTATTTTCCAGTCAGAAAGCAACCTTGTTTTTAGACTCCCATTTCTCAGATGTACTTCTGATCCTCATTACTCCCCTCATTTCTTGTTGTCAGAGTCTTCTGCAGCTCTTCTGTGCACCAAGCCCAACTACAACCCCAGAATGAGCTACTGAAAGGGCAGATCTGTTGAATCACATCATTTTTGTGTGGGATTTGTACAGTACGATTTTTTTTCTACAGGACCTACTATAATTCTGTCCTGTCATGATCAAATTATATGCCTGAAGTTCATAGTGACATCTACAAACTGTTGCTGCCTACTTTTTAGGTGGTTTGTTTGAACTTTGTGGGTTTTTTGTCAGTTATACAGCACAGGTAGTAACTTTTTAGTAATTGGGCAGTGAGTTTTTCAGAGCATGTATGAGTGTGCAGTGCTATGCTAGCTGGAGGTCTCCTCTTGATCACCTTGTATTTTAGAGTTCCTCTCAGTCAGCTTCTCTCTTTCCTGTCAGTCAACATCACCTACAATTCCCTACTCACATTTCTTCTGATTCTGTTACTAGAGGGCTGCAGGATAAACTAAACATTCAGCTGTACATTTCCTGCTCCTCCTGCCAATCTGGCCCTCCAACAAAGGAACTGTGTCTGAGAAGACAGAACCAAGAAAATTGCTGTTCTCAAGAGACAAGTGAGTGTCAGGCTGCTGAGGGAGAGCTTGTGCCTATAGCAAACCATGCGAGTGCTTCAGCTAAAGCCCACCTTGCAATACTTTACAAGCTTCCTACATCTGTGGCTAAAACACTGCCAGATGCCCAGGAAAGCATGAAGGGGCCATAAACACTAGATGAGAAACCAAGAAGGGAATCTTAAAGGGCAAACCTGTGGGATTAGGATGTATGAAATCAGGGCAGATCTCACTGGAGCCAACAGTAAAGAGAGGATTAGAAAAAAAAAGAAGAAGAACGTGAGAAAATAAAAACAGAAAAAGGTGATACTATTTTAGGCAGCAAGGGAACAAGGAAACTGAGACTATCAGACTTCAAATGGATGAGATAAAAAGCATGAGACAGGAATGAGAAGCTCCAAACCAGGAGTTTGGTACTGAGAACAGAGGTGAAAAAAAGACAGGAAAGTCTCTTTTGCAGCAGACAATACAGCACCAGAGATAAAGACATTAACCTGCTAGATGAATAAACAGGACTTCACCCTGAATCCTTATTCACAGATCCTGTTTAGAGGATTATTCCTGTAGCAGAAAATCCCTGGCTTGATGCACTGAAAAATAAAGCATCAGGAACTGAGATTTGTGCAGCTAGCTGAATTCCACATCTCCATAAAAAACCAGTCCTTAAATATAAGTTGAATTTGAAGTACCAGCACAGTGCGATGTTTACCATCATCAAGAAATCCAATACACTGAATAGACAATTTATTTTTTCTTGACAGTTTTCCCACACATGGTGAAAAAGTTGAATACAGGCCTGCATGTGATGATCATAATGTTCCTCTGTGTGGCCATTTTCTTTTCTCTGGTCAGTTTTGGATTCTGCATTCTTAACGCAATAAAAGTTCCTTACCGGGCTATTAACGGTCCAGCAGGAGCATGCCTTTGGAACTTCCTTGCAGGTAAAGTAATTTTCCAGTGTTTTTCTCTAGTCACATTCATAGAAAATGATACAAGTTTCCTTCTTTTGCCTTACTGAATACCTCCTTGATTTAAATATTGTGAATACAATGAAGTTGGTGGTGAATTCACACCTATCAAAACAGAACTTCCAGGCGGTATCTTGGCTTACTGTGTCTAGTTAACATTTAACAGGAGCTGTGAATGCCAGCCTCGAGGCTTTATGTCATGGATAAAAGTATGTTTGCCCACACAATACAGCCTAAGCAGAAGGTGTTTAAGCCATGCCTTTGTCTGTCCCTACTCTGTATAGTGCTCAGTGGTGTATTCAAAGTCTTTTGAAGCACGACCAAAATATCTGTCCTGTTTTGATTTGATAATGGTGAGTACTCATTTCATTTAATTGCAGGTGGATTTGTGGTACTTGGAGTCACCAGCTTCATGGCTGCTGTGAAACTTCATCACCTCACAGAAAGAATTGCCAATTTTCGGGAAAATGTCTTTCGGTTCATTGTCTTAGAAGAACGCTTTGAGGACTGTTTTTGGATTTGTGTGGCAAGTGCCACAGCACATGCAGTGAATTTACTGCTAATAGCCATTAGTGAGATTCATTTCCCTAAAATTAAGACTAAAACAGAAGAAGTCAATGTTACAGCAGAAGATATCATGTACTAACAAAACACTACAAAAACTACACAAAACTATTTTGCTCATGTGAACTGTTGTGACAGGAACAGCTTCTTGGCTCTTCATCCTTTGTTTTGGATAGATGATTTGTGTACAAACCTGTGTAAACATGTCAGTCTACAATACCAGCAACTAACATGTCTGTGAAAAAAAATTAAAAAACCAAATGCTATAAATATCATTATTCTCAAAACAAACTGATATCTGCAGTGAGTATATACTGTTTCCATTTTAAGAAAATTTGCTCTTTGGGGTATTTTAGAAAGCTAAGGTAAAATATTCATCAAACCAAATGTCTTCTTTATTTAGAAAGACAACATGTTTATCACAAATCTTTGAAACTATAAGGTTATTTCAAAAGAGAAAGAATGTATATTTGGCATTTACTTTCACAGAATTATCTAGAGCATAGTAAGAAAGACATATATCTTTCATGATGTTATACAGCATGGAAAAAGAGAACTTTATCAACTGTGAGGTTAAAGTTAAGGGGTAGCAAAGGCTAAGTGTGTGTGTGTGAAATGTTTTTAAAACAGAAATTGTCCAATACCACAAGGCAAAGAAGTGAGAAATGTAAAGTATATGGGATTCTATTAGTCTGTGAAGCAAAAATTATTAGCTGCTAGATGAACATTTTATTGCAGCTTCTGGAAGTAAACAGATTAAGGGTAATAATGCTTTTAGATAACCTGGAAAATATTAATCTGACAGATTAATTTTCTTCATGACTGTTAAGTCTATCTGAAATCAAGTAAAAGTGATGTATGATGAAATAGTATTGAAATGAATAGAACTGGCTAAATGGATGGAAAAGTTACTTTCTTAGGAAGGGCCATAATTTTGACAAAGTTTCGACCAGTTCATGCGTCCTGAGGAGTGAGTATTTTTGAGAAAAGGATATGGAATATACCATTAAGAATGGATACAGTGGCCTCTACCATCTCTGGGTTTGGCTCTATAAGGTTAGTAGGATTATGAGTAAAGCAGAAATTTGTGAGGGTGTCTCTGCAATAGGCCCTACTAACCTATCTTCTTCAAGACACCATGAGCCACTTTTGTTATGCAGGAGCACTTGTTATGCAGGAGCACTGCAATTATTCTAAAAAATTTAAAAGATAAATGGAAAATGATGATGAGTTATAGAACTGTTACAATTTCAGTATAAAGGAGACTCAATAAAGCAGAAAAAGTTCCTATTTCATACCACACTCTTGCTTCATTATTCTTCTAAATTTACTGGTGCTTTGACTCAGACCGTGCCCTGAGCCACAACTCCAGAAAGATGGTGCAATAGCCTGCACATGGATAGGCAGCAAACAAACCCAGGCTACAAAGGTGTCTTAGATGGTAACAACACTATGGCCATGAAAACTGTCCACAGGGGCCTCTGTGGTACCACCACCTTCCCCTCCCAGAAAATTCTGAATGGCTTTGAGATAGAAAAACTTGAAGTGCAGCATAATTACACAAGTAGAAAATGTAATACTTGTCATTTGTAATTGTTCTATGAACATGTATAATTTAGAAAGTTACTGTCTAAATTCTAAAGAATTATATTGTGGCATGTAACTTAGCTTTTACTAAACATAATTCTCTTCTGGAGGTGAGAAGGAAGCAGATTGTTAAATCCTCCATATTGAGTGATTGCTGTGAAAATGCTTTTCAGTAGCATTAATACTGTGTTGCAACACATTTTCATACTGATAATGAGCTGCTTGATGGCCCACAAATTTTGAACCCCTCCAAAAATATTACTGAATAAGAATCATGGGACCATTTAGGTAAGGACAAGATTAAAGATTTGTTGGAGTGGATTCCTAGGAAGGTCACAGTAGCTCTGAAAGACCCTGTAGAATGCACTATATACGTGAAGTTAAAGGGGTTGACTGGGCTGATTAGTGTTGTAATTTCTTGGTTTGAATCAATTCAAGAATGGAACATACTCTGTAGTAAAGGTCCAAGAGAAGATTTCTCTCACAGCAGACCTATGAACCATCATTGTGGGATACTGTAGCTGCACAAGTTGAATGACCAAATAACAAACAGCAATGACTGTGCTGTGACCTGTGAGAAAATAGAATTTTCAGTTCAGAGTGAACAGAAGTATCCTCATGCATGAACTAAACTTAATGAAACAGATGTGAGGCTAAATTAAACTTTCAGCTGCACAGGTTGTCTGAGTTTAGGCACTGCTAAGATACACTGATAGGTCAATGCATGGAATATTTGCCCTGGGATATTTTGTCTGGAGAATAAAAGGTTAAATGCAGGTATACATATTTGAAATGTACAATTATAAAGCCCGCCTTGGAGTTAATAATAAGTAAGTGCAACTTGATATATGTGGTCTACTTTATCTACACATTTTTATTATGCTTCACATAGTGTATCTGATCATATGCATGCTCAACATGTAGAAATGAGCACTTCTCTGGGGGCATTTCTTACCTTGGAAGATTTGAAATCCTAGATGAGAATATTTATGAATAATATCTACCCAGAACTTTGAAGATATTATGGGTCCAATCCTGTCTTTCCATAAAATTCAAGACAACTTCATATATCCCAGAAATACCCACTTAATTTGTATGTACAGAATAATATCTAGAAACTACATGAATGTGGAGAAGCTATGGAGCTATGGAGTTCAAAGAACTAAAAAACTGTTAATTCAAGAGCCTTGCCAAAATAAACGAAGCTGAAAATGAATTACCACTTTGACTCTTTAAATAATACTGTGGTTTAATGTTAGAAATATGTATTTTTACATGATAAATCAAATTGGGTCCTCAGTCATTGTTTCTGAGTGCTGCTGTCCTTAATAAAACATGTTATTTGTCTCTCTACCACTTCATGGAAAAAGCTGTGAGGTGGGAAGTGTAGTGGGCTCCTAGAGAACAGGCTCAGCTCCTTCTGCATCATGTTCTGCTTATCTAACAGTGTAACTCCACTTAAGGATGTATGGAAAAGCAAACATTGTTTTATATATATTCATACGGTGTCTTATTCTTACATATTTAACTGAAATACTTAAAATCTATGCTTTACACTACAGGGGCAGGGAAAGAAACAAAAAATGTCTCAATCACCTGAAATTAAAATCCAGTGCATGTTCAATGCTCTTCAGACTAACAATACAATAATTGTCAGCAAACTCCAACCACTTCTTTTCCATGCAGTGCTTTTGCTCACCAAAAATCTACTTCTGATATTACAGTGATGACCCTGTATTCTGCTCTGAATTTTCCTGACAGAATGTGACCACAGTCATTCTCATTGTTTTGTGGTTTTTTTCATTTGCCACATTTTTATTTTTCTGTAATTTCAGCCTGAAATTGTTACAGTAACGTGCGTTTGCAATAAAGTTTTATTTTTCCTAAATAATTCACATTTTAATCTTCAACATGCAATTTAGGTACACTGACTAGGTAGGGCTGCCTAAATCCGTGATAAACCCCCGAGAGAAGTACGACCACCTATCTAGAACATGCCACGAGAGGGCAAAAATCCACTGTGAAGCGGAGCCGCCTCTTCGCACGAATCGCGCCGGACCATGAGGAAACCCCAGCCCCCGTCCCGCGGGATCCCGGATCGGGAGCGCTCCGGGGCCCCGCTCAGTCCCCGCTCAGTCCCCGCTCGGGAGCGCTCCGGGCCCCGCTCTCCATCCCTGCTCAGTCCCCGCTCGGAAGCGCTCCGGTCCCCGCTCTCCATCCCCACTCGGGAGCGCTCCGGGGCCGGCTCTCCGTCCCGGCTCTCCGTCCCGGCCCTCCCCCGCAGCCGCCACGCACCGCCCCTCACGGCGCCGGCTGATGAGGCGCTGTGCGCGCCGGGCCCGGCCCCGCTGCTCCATTCCCCTCCCATCTCCTCCGTGCTGCCTTGCCTGCCGCTGCCGTGCTCGGTGCCGCGCCCGCTGCCATGCTGCTGCCCTGCGTGCGGAGCGGGGCTGCGCGCCGCCTCGCCCGGGACCTGCCGCGGGCCTGCAGCTGCTCGGCGCAGGGCCCCTCGCCGCGGGGCTACAGCCGTGACACGGCCGCGAAGGTGAGCGGGGAGCCGGGGTTGTGTGTCCCTTCCTCCGCTCGGCTCTCGGCTGAGCCCCCCGTGTGCCCCCCGGAGCTGAGGCAGGAGCGGTGCGGCTCCCTCCGCTGCTCTTGGGGGTGCCAGACTGGGCGTCTGCGCTGGCGGGGAGAAGCTCTTTTGTACTTAAAATTACTGATTGAAAGAGTTTTTGTCTTTATGTGATCGGCAAAATTATTGTGCTGTATCTGACTTCTTTTTCACACTTTAAAGTAGTTGTAGTTGATCTTGGTTTACAGAAGTGTTATTCTACGCATCATGTTAGATAAATTCAAAAACTGAGATAAATACATAGAGAATTAGCAATAGTTTGAAAACTGTGCTCGCTGACTCTCTGATGGGTCTCTAAATTTCGTGTTGTTTACATTAACGCGTGTTCTTTTCTAGGGTCTTGTTCTGGGAGTCTACTCTAGTGAAAAGGGCGATGGTGCTGCCCAGTTCACTAGTGCGGGAGATGCTTTTGATAGGCTTGTGTCTGGAAAGCTGAGAGCACTTCTCTCCCTGTAAGTGAGTGATAAGCCCCTGAAATGGACTCAAGTACCTACAAATACCAGTTGAAATGGTATTATATTTTTTGTTATTACTGTCTGTGTAATACCTGTGAAGCAGGTATTTGCTTCCACAGTTTGGAGGGGAGCTCCCATGATAAAACCAATCACTGAGCAAACATGCAAAAATTTCATGGGAACGGTCCTCTGCTCTGAACAAGCACAGAGCCAAGCATCCAAGTACATGTGTGGCACACTGTGTAGTCATGGAATAAACACAGTACTGTAAGGTTGATCACAAGTAAGGCCTTCTGTATTAAAAGAATCTTTTTGTGTCCTAGATGTGGGCCACCTTTGAAGAAAGGCAAAACACGTATATTTCATGGTTTGCATCAGGTATGAACTTTGTGGTTTTGTGTGCTAATTGATTGAT